ACTGGGGAGGCTGAGGCAGGAGAATCACTTGAACCCAGGAGGGGGAGGTTGCAGTGAGCCGAGATCATGCCACTGCACTCCAGCCTGGACAACAAGAGAGAAACTCCGTCTCCAAAAAAAAAAAAAAAAAAAACTATAAATAATAATCAAGGCTGGGCGTAGTGGCTCACGCCTGTAATCCCAGCACTGTAGGAGGCCGAGGCAGGAGGATCATGAGGTCAGAAGTTCCAGACCAGCCTGGCAAACATGGTGAAACCCCATCTCTACTAAAAATACAAAAATTAGCTGGGATCACGCCTGTAATCCCAGCTACTCGGGTGGCTGAGACAGGAGAATCGTTTGAACCTAGGAGGCGGAGGTTGCAGTGAGGTGAGATCACACCATTGCACTCCAGCCTGCACAACAAGAGCGAAACTCCATCTCAAAAAAATAAAAATAATAATAATAATCAAAACCCCATTATAATTTTCATGGAACTTAAGCTGATTCTAAAGAGCCAAAGCTATTCTGAGAAAAAAAATGAGTAGGAATTGAATCTACTAGATTAAAATATGATAAAGTAATAGTATTTAACACTGTGAGTATGGAACACAGATAAATACATCAACGAAACAAAATAAAGACACTGAAAATATTCCCAAGCATAAATGGAACCTCAATATGATCAAGGAGGTATGCCAAATGGGAACACACTTTTTAATAAATAGTGCTGGGGCGACCAGCCTTCCACATGGAAAACAAAATTACCTATCTCCTTCACACCATACTCAGAAGTTAACTTAAAATTTTCTTAGAAAAAATACAGAAAGTCTTTATGACTTTGGAGTAGAAATGCATTTTTTAAATAGAAACAATTTATAAAAGAAAAAGACTGAAAAGTATTACTATATCAAAATTTTAAATTTCCAGATAATAAAAGATAATTTTTTAAAATGTCCTAGAATAAAAAAGTGTCTGCAAAAAGTTCATATTTAACCTCTACAAAGAGTTCCTGTAATTCCATTTAAAAATGCAATAGAAAAATGGGCAAAGATATGAACAGGCAATGAAAGGTACTGAACCTTACCAGTAATCTGAGAAACAGAAATTTTTTGAATGAGCCATCGTTTTACATTCATTAGACTGACCAAAATGTAAGTCAAACAATATCAATTATCAAAGATGTGTGAATGAAGCAGAAACTCTCACACACTGCCGATGGGATATACATCAGGACAGCCTCCTGCAGGAGCAACGTGGCAATACCTAATAAGGTGTTGCCTAAGGATGAAGGAGTGTACACTCTGTGACAAAACAATTCAATTTCTGATTCTTTCCTCTCAGGAAACTAGCAGATATGCATAAGGAGATTTTTACCGCACCATTTTATATAACAGAGAAATGTGAAAAATACCCAAAAGGAAAAAAATTGTTGTATATTCACGTTAGAACTCTGATGTACATCTGTATGTATCAGAACTGATACATGATAAAAACATAATATTGAGGGTTTTTCTTTTTAAAGACCACGGAGAAAGTTAGCTACAGTGTGATACCATTTTGGAAACGTTTGAACTCACAAAACAATGTATATTTGTACATGTTATATACAGATAAAAATTGAATAGAAATACAATCAGAAAATATCCACCAGAGGAAAGAGGGAAAGAGGAGGGGGCTGATACTCGACCTATAAGAAAGAGGGAAAGAAGAAGGGGCTGATACTCGACCTATAATGTATTATTTATCTATTTACTCTGATACAGAGATGAAATACGCAGTAATGCTGATGTGTTCATCCTCGGTGGTGAGTTCATGGCATGGAGTGTGTGTGTGTGTGTGTGCGTGTGTGGTTTTTGTTGTTGTTGTTTTTTTTTTTTTTTTGAGACACAGCCTCACTCTGTCCCCCAAGGCTAGAGTGCAGTGGCTCAATCTCGGCTCACTGCAACCTCCACCTCCCGGGTTCAAGAGAGTCTCCTGCCTCAGCCTCCCGAGTAGTTGGGGTTACAGGCACCCGCCACCATGCAGAGTTAATTTTTGTATTTTTAGTACACATGGAGTGTCGCCATTTTGGCCAGGCTGGTCTCGAATCCCTGACCTCACGTGATTCGCCCACCTTGGCCTCCCAAAGTTAGGATTACAGGCATGACCCACGGCGCCCGTTACTATACTTTCTATCTGCAGCCTAACTCTCTTCCCTGGGTCTTAAACTTCCTCACACCTGAACTCTTCCCATATCGAATTTCCAAAATGTGTGCCCTTTCTCTTAGCCCCTCGCTGCTCCTCCTCCAGCCTCTTTCTACACCACACATTCTCTGATCACCACACATTCTCTGCCTGAAGCTGTGGCAGGACCACCGACATCCTCCAACAACTTAACAGAAAAAGTAGGGAAAAACTTTCTTCAAGCAACCAAATTCTGCACAGAAGCTTCAACAACCAGACACAAGCAGAGATGCCCCTGGAGGCAAGGATAGGGCTTGAGGATTCTCTAGTCCAGTGGGCCAGGCCCCAGAGAGAAGCCTCAAAAACAGTCTGAAAATTCCTGGTATGCAAAACAAAAACAGAATTCCTTAAGAGGACACTTGCAGGTCCCTCGCCACCCGGCCCTTCTCCACAGGTCATCTCCACCTCCTGGCGCTCTCCCCACCATCCCACAGCACCCCTGCTTCTCCACACCCCCACAGTGCCTCCCCTCCGTGCCCAGCAGAGAAAGTCTTGCTCCAGCACTCACCACACATCCACACACTTGCACAAAACGGTTCCACTCCCAGTCCCAAGACATGCAGCAGGCTAACTGTCCACAGTGACCCAGGCCCTCACTTCCACATCTCAGTATCCTCACTTCTGCCCGAACATCTTCTAACCTTGACTCCTGGGGCCTCCATCTCTCGCAACAAACTCAGCCCAACAAAGTAACTGTTCTTTTACTCCCACCTCTTTGACATTTGTATTATCCTCCCAGCTTCTGCGACTGCTAAGGTTCTGACAGCCGCAGTCTGAGAGCTCTCCTGCTTTTTGACAGTGAATGAAATCCTGATAATAACTGTCTTCGCTTCCCGTCTCTATTAATGACGACAGGTTAAATGGGGCAGCCAACTGAATGCTACCGACAGCTTTAAATGGCAACACATTAAAGCAAAAGGTGCAAGGTCAGCCTTTTATAGCTGTTGCACTTAACAAGGTTAAAATCTAATCTTCTGCTTTGAAAAGTCAGGAAGTTCAATTTATCAACTCAGCATGGAATGATCGGGTTCTGGGGCATTCACATTAATGAAATTCACAAAAGACTGATTCATCCTACAGAATACCAATTGTCATGGACTGAACCATGTCCCCACAGAATTCACTATGCTGAAGCCCTAACCCTCAATGTGACTGCATTTGGAGATGAAACTTTTAGGGAGGCGGTTAGGGTAAATGTGGGGTCCCCATCAATAAGAGTGGTGAGACACCAGCGAGGTCCCCAGCAACCCCACACACTGACACGGAGATGAGACCATGGGATGACACAGAGAGAAAGAAGGCGGCCCTCTGCAGGCTGTGGAGAGAGGCCTCACCGGACACCAACCCTGACAGCACCTTGATCTTGGACTTCCAACCTCCAGACTATGGTAACATTAATTTCCCCAGTCTTTAGTATTTTGTTATGGCAGCCCAAGCACACTAAGACACTCATTTACAAATTCAAAATGAGGACACAGCAGACCAATCACGCCTGTCATCACGATAACCCATTCACGGCAGCACGTTTACATCTAGAAAATCACATTCATGGCCAGTTTTTCAGCAAGCAAGGAACTGGAATGAGGTTACTTAAATGTTCCCAAAGAATCTGGAGTCCACTTTCTAGTGATGTGAATACCCACATTCACCAAACACCGCTTTAGCCCTACCCTGAATAAACACGAATCAAGCACCTTCTCTCCAGCTGTTTTTTCCCTCTCCAAGTTCCTCACTCTTCGTAAAGCCTGTTATTACAACATCATAGCCCCCTAAAAACTTACGATTTCTAAAATCACAACTTATCTTATGAGAGCTACATGTAGAAAACAGAATTTCACTTACGCTTGATGAATACATCCTACTCTTCAGCAAACTGTTTCCAAATAATAAACTGAAATATAGTTAGTTCCAGAGAATTCTATCCTTTTTTTTTTTTTTGAGACGGAGTTTCACTCTTGTCACCCAGGCTGGAGTGCAGTGGCACAATTACGGCTCACTGCAACCTCCACCCACCGGGTTCAAGTGATTCTCCGCCTCAGCCTCCCGAGTAGCTGGGATTACAGGTGCCCGCCACCACACCCAGCTAATTTTTGTATTTTTGGTAGAGACGGGGTTCCACCATGTTGGCCAGGCTGGTTTCGAACTCCTGACCTCAGGTGATCCACCCGCCTCAGCCTCCCAAAGTGCCAGGATTACAGGCGTGAGCCACCATGCCCAGCCGAGAATTCCATCCTTTAACAACTGACTAACCTCAGGAAGACTCCTACAGGAAATAGTGAGTGAGTAGAACACCCCATGCCAAACTGCAAGGACACTTCTGTTAAACTTATTCTCTACTGATTAAAACTTAAACAAAAATAGAACACTACTGAACACAATAAAAACAGTCACCAGGCCTATCATTTCCACCAAAAAAAAAAAAATCTTTCAATAGAGTGAATAGTGTAGTACAGGTGATATTCAGTCCATTAAGTTACTAAGCTAACAGATTGTATGTACTTAAAATTACAAATTAACCTTAACGACCAGATACACTTTTTCTAGGCAGTTCAGGCATTTATAACTGAATAAACGGACCTGCTGGCCACCCAAGCTGAGATTCCAATGACAGTGACAAGGGCTTTATCAGAATGGAACAAAAGGACTAGAAAGTTGTGGGTAACCAGAACGGTCTTCTAAAAGAAGATGGTAAGTACATAAGTACATTAATATGCCTTGAAAAACAGAATCAGAACACTTAGAACAATTCTGAGAAACACAAACCTTTATAAACCCAAGGATAGAGCTTTACTTACATGAAGGAATAATGAACTGGGGCTCAGTGTTGCCTGCGTAGCCAAGCTTGGTATACCTAAAAGCACAAAGTCATCAACACATGTTTAGATAATAATACTCTCGTCTATATTGGATTAATGTCTTTCATTATAAGCTCTCCAAGTCCTAAAATATCAAGCCTCAGAATACTCCTTGAAATTAAAAAAGAAAAAACTTGTGATTACTGAGAATCAAACACTAATTTCAAAGAAAGCAGTTTTGCAAAAACTTAAAATATTCTGCTTGTTTCTAGTAGAAAAAAAAGACATATATACTAACATATAAATTACATTTATGCATCCCTAATAACTTTAAAAGTGCTTTTACACTCTATCTTTACAGAAACCCTGTGAAGAAAGTAGAAATTATCCCTGTTTTGCAAATGAGAAAAGGGAGGTGCTGAGAAGTTGATTAAACTGCCCACACTAGTGAACTGCAGAAAAAGAACTCCAATCTACATATGCAGGCTAATTCCAACGCTGGCTCTCTAAGAAGTATACTTACTTCCTAGAACTTTCATACAAACTTCCTGAACTTTGCGGGGTGGGGGGCGGCGGTTAGAAAATGATTATATAATTTTCTTAAAATGTCATGGCATATGTCTAAGAAACAGCTACTGCCGTCTCCTGAGAATCATCTGACAAGAGCATCTCTTTATCATCTCATTTCAGAAGGAGCCCATTTTCTGTCAAGACACTGCATGATAGATTCCAAAAGTCTTAACTAAAACAAATGCCAAAATACTACTATCTGTTCCAAAAGCATTTGCTAATCTCCTAAATATAAAAGGGGGGGTGGTGAAAAAAAAAAAAAAACACCACTCAGAACCATCTGCTGGAAATAAAGTTGAAAAGCGGTAAGTAAATTGAGAAGACTCATCAGCACTTCCCTTCTTATTAGGATTACTCTAATTAACAGTAACGTCTGGACAACCAAGCCGTCATTCTGTAATAATGCTAGCTAATACTAGCAGTGTTGAAACTAACTTTATTCATTCATTCTACTTAAAAATTATTTCAAGATGCTTGATATTAAATTTTTGATCTGGTAATACTTCCAAATTCTAATAAATTAATTTTACAATTTTTAAATATATTTTACCATATGCTAATTTTACTATTTTTGAACACACAGTGAATGGATAAGAGACCCAAAAAAAAAAAAAAAAGTCAGTTCCCCTCAAATCACATATGACTGCTGAACTTCCACAGGATCTGAGGTCTTCAAGCCACAGGAGCCAGGGCAATGCCAAGTCCTGAGACTCCTCAGGCCCTACAAGGAGCTTCTGGAGGTAAGACCACGTGAAGCCCTCTTCAGTTCCACAACTCAAGAGCTGCAAACAGAGTACGAGGCCAAGGGGACCCACAACAACTCCACTCCAGGGTTCCACCTACAAGGTGGAGTTCAGAGCCAACCGAGAGCCAACCCAGAAAGGAGGCAACAGAGCCTGACCTTTAGAATTCCAGATCCTTCCCAATTTTAACATCTGGAATTATATTCCAGAAAATACATATAAATAAGTGAATTACTAACCCAAGGCTAAAGATGTCTACAGAATCCAACGAGCAGACCAGAAATCACTAAAATCATCAAATCTGTGTCTTTAACAAGCTACATCAGCTCCTTCCTACAAAAATGATGCACCTTATGCTTAAATAAATCCAACTTCCCACACTGTTAGACTGTGAGTTCCACACACTGCCCAGAACAGGGTCCTTTCTCATAGTTATATCTACACCCCCAGCACAGTGCCTGGCACATGGCAAATACTCCAGAAATAACTGCGCAATGTATTCTCACCAGTTATAAAAAAGGTAATCATCGTCAGACTGCTAGGGGAAGGACTAATATTTGCAAGAAGGATGCTGAAAGTCAGAAAAAGAATCTGATGGAACCAGAAAAAAATCACATCTCCCACAATTTCCTACTTAAGCAGAAGCAGTGGCCTATGTGTAATGGGTTTCAGAAAAAGAAAAAAAAAAAAACACTGAAACTAATATGGTAAAATGTTAACATTTATTAAAATTAGGTGCTAAGTTTGAGGCTGTTATATCATCTTCATATTTTGCACTTTGTCACCATACTGAGTTCAAATCCCAGCCCCACTATTTGCCAAATATGTATGTTCGGGCAAGTTACTTTACCTATCTGTATGTCAGTTACTGTAAAATGGGGATAATAGACTGAGGCAAGAGGACCCCTTAAGCCCAGGAGTTCGAGGTTGCAGTGAACTATGACTGCAACACTGCCCTCTAGCCTGGGTGACAGCGAGACCCTGTCTCAAAAAAAAAAAAAAAAAAATCTGAAAAGTTGAAAAAAACAAGCAATGTGTTCTGGGTCCCAAGTGATAGCATTCATTCCTTCCACTGTACACCATGGACAGTTTAATTTGTATAGTGGTGAGAATGAAATGTATGAAACAAATGGTAGATCTAGTAGATACCTGATAGGCCTTCAACAACTATGCCTCATTTCCATCCCAAAGTTTTGTACCCTGAAATCGTAACTACGGCCCACAGCAGGAAAATGTCAGACTACAAAAACAGACTTGAGCGCTGTTAGGCCCACAGCTCTAAAATTCAACTAAGCAGCTGCTGGAACATTCAGATTCTGGAGCCACATCGTTCTTTTAGACAGTATCATCTTGGAAGGAGGCCTCTGTGTCAGAGTCACACGGGTACCTTAAGTATCAATGACATTAAGCCAATGATGATTTTCATGACTGAGGAAAATAATTTTTTTTTTTTTTTTGAGACGGAGTTTTGCTCTTTTGCCCAGGCTGGAGTGTGGTGGTATGATCTTGGCTCACTGCAACCTCCGCCTTCCTGTTTCAAGCGATTCTCCTGCCTCAGCCTCCTGAGCAGCTGGAATTACAGGCATCTGCCACCATGCCTGGCTAATTTTTGTGTTTTTAGTAGAGATGGGGTTTCACCATGTTGGCCAGGCTGGTCTCAAACTCCTGACCTTGTGATTCGCCTGCCTCGGCCTCCCAAAGTGCTGGCATTACAGGCGTGAGCCACCACGCCTGGCCCTAATATTCTCATGTGCTAACAACTTACTATAAGATCCTTACCCTCCTAGCAGAACTGAAGTTATTTTAAAAAACACTGGCAAAAGCACAAATTATTCAGATCATTTTATCCTAATGTAATATCTTTCCATTTTCCTGGACTATTCCTTATACATTAATAGTATCAAATACACTTGAAGTTTTGTTACTTTGAATAATCATAACGTAACAAACATCAAACAAAATTTAAGAGACATTCAAATTTAAAATTTTAATAAAATCTGCACCGACACAGCCTCATCCATCCCAAACTTCAATGACAATCTATTAAATATAATTCAGTAGATGTCATCTAAAAAGTACGCATCCTCAAATTCTTTCCCAGGAAAATTCAATGCTAGACTGGCCTGTCCCATGATAACATCACAGTTCAACGCCATGAAGAGCAGGACCAAAAAAGCAACAGCAAAACACAATTCTTAAATATGGCAAGTGCTCAAGACACCATTTACCAAAAAAAGAAACTTCCCTATTTCAACCAATTTACTAGCTAGAAACAATGTAGCAGGCACTGTACTAATCACTGAGCCGCACTCAGACTGAGGATGGGGAGGCGGGTGGACATGGCCCAGGTCCTCAAAGTGTTCCTCAGAATGTTTACCTATCCGATACAGGACTTCAGATTGAGTTTTCCAGTTGTATCACGGCTTACTTTACCTGGAAGGCAAGTTTAAGATCTTCGTAGGCATCGAGAAACAATAAGCCACGTGTGGCTGACCAGATCACCTGGGGAACTCCTGAACAGATTCCCAGGGGCTGTGCGAGATTCAGTAAATGGGAATCTCCAGAGAAGGCTGGGCATCTGTGTTCTTAATACCCCTCCCTCACCCGCATGGTTCTGGCGGTCAACCAGCTTAGAACTCACTGACCTCAACTATACCACATGAAGTCACCTTTAGCATTTTTATATAATGCAAGCTCCCCAACCTCACTGTCACATTCTACCAAAACCTCCTTCCACGCACATTTAGCAAGATGTATCTATAATACTGAAGTTTAATACTGTTCAGAAGTTCAGAAGAAAGAACCCATATGTCCTTTTTTTTTTTTTTTTTTTTTTTATTTTTGGAGACAGTCTCACTGTCACCCAGACTGGAGTACAGTGGTGTGATTACAGGTCACTGCAGCCTCAACCTCCTGGGCTCAAGTGATCCTCCCACTTCAGTCTCCCAAGTAGCTGGGACCACAGGCACATGTCATCACACTCGGGTAAGTTTTTTTTATGTTTTGTAGAGAGGGGTCTTCCTGTGTTACCCAGATTGGTCTCAAACTCTTAGGCTCAAGGGATTCTCCCACCTTGGCCTCCCAAAGTGCTAGGATTATAGGTGTGAGCCACAGAGCCCAGCTACCAAATGCAGCAATTTTATCTTATTATTTAAAACATGTGTGTGTGTAGGTACTCTATGAAAAAAAATGTAGGAAATGCTTTTCAATTCAAACTATGCAATTAAGAAGTAGTGAAAATAGGCCAGACGTGGTGGCTTACGCCTGTAATCCCAGCACTTTGGGAGGGTGAGGCGCTGGATCACCTGAGCTCAGGAGTTCAAGACCACCCTGGGCAACATAGTAAAACCTTATCTCAATACTAAAATACAAAAAATTAGCTGGGCATGGTGGCACGTGCCTGTAGTCCCAACTACTCAGGAGGCTGAGGCACAAGAATCGCTTGAGCCCTGACGCCACTGCACTCCAACCTGGGCAACAGAGTGAGACTCTAGCTCAAAAAAAAAAAAAAAACAGAAGTAGTAAAAAAAAAAAAATCTAGGCTCAATCTAGGAAAGTAAAGAAAGTAAAAAACTTAAGCTAAAAAGGGAAAAATTTCTTAGGAAGAGATGATGGGGAAAAAAAAATCTCAAACCAAAATAAAATGAAACACTTAAGAATCCTTATTGAAGTCAGAATTAAGCCAAGGAGATCTACTATCATTATTCTGATTTTACACTGTTTAGGAAGAACTAGATATTACA